CCAGGAGACTCCACAAGGGAGGCAGCTGCATGGGTCGTGGTCCAGGGGGACCCAGCTGGGGCTGCCTGGGAAGAAGGGGCTCCGCTGCCTTTCCTAGAAGGCAGCAGAGCTGCCTCACTGCCCTCTGCTACAGGCATTTCCCCTACCCACTCCAATGTACAAACTTAGAGCTTCCTACTTCATGCTGAAGTACAGGACCCAAGAGCCAGAACTGCATAGTCATGATATATCTTTAAAGAATGTTATCAGTAATTACAGGCAGCAAATGAGCACTTGCCTTCCACTTTCAGCCTGCCACTGTTCTCAACTTTCCTTGTTCTCACTTTCACTTCTTTCCCCATAGCATACAGGAATCCTCCCATATTTGCTAGCTTCAAAGAAATACTACTCTCCTTTATACCTACATCCTTCTCTTCAAAATCCAGTCTTCAATTTCCCTTATTTACACTCTTCTTGGAGCTATTCTAATCTGGGTTCTTTTTCTCTGGTCTACAAAGGAGCTACTTTTATCAAGGTATTTTATAGTATTTTCCTGAATGAGTCTCAAAAATGTATTCAGTTATTTCTCACTCTTCCTGGCATCAGTGTTGATGCTTTTCATTGGAACCAATATCAAAACCTAAACATTTTTCTTTTATTAATGATCCAGTACACCTGTTTTATTTTTAGCCTACTCACTCTTCTTTTTTTGTTACATCAACACCAGTTACGAAGTCCAATTTTTTACCCTTTCTTTATTCCTGCATCTGTGGCTGGTCCCATGCAGATGCAGAGACAAGGTATACACAAGACAGCTTATCTTTTTACAAGTTTGCATGGGAGTCCAGTGGAAGTATATATTCCATAATTATAGAAAAAAGAAACCAGTTTATAAGTGACATTTTAAAAATTAACCATACATGATTAAATTAAATAATCTAATTAATTGTCTAATGGTAAATAAGAACAGGGTACTTAATTACACTTACATCAGTAGCAGCAGTTAGGATTTTGGAAAGGATGACTCTTGCTAACCCATCTCTGCTGTAATCCAAACTAGACACGGTCAGTTTTAGTAAATGATCCTGGTTCTTCAAAGAACAGAGATTAAGAAGACTAGAAAAAAGTTGAAAGAGACTATTACTTTTTTAACTCATTTATCTCACTTGGCTATTTTATTCAATAGATGAAGTTTACGTGTAATCTGAGTTAACTTTTCATATTTTTTAAATGCAGTAGAAAAATGGATTAATTCATGTATTCAATTAAATTATTTTAAATTCATAAAGGCTATAGATAGTCTGTATATAAATTTCATGTCGCACCACTGACTTTTTCCGTAAGAACACCACAGAAACTAAATTTTTAAAATGACTAATAAGACATACTTGTCAGTATTATTGGTTAAAATCAGTGTGCTCAAACTTTTGATCTCATAGGCCAAATGAGTGGTGTGAGCCTGGTTTACAGGCTGAATCAAGCCCCGCATGTCAAGATAAGGCTGTGGGGCTTGCTACCTCCTGTCCTTTGGTACTGGGATAGAGCATTGGGGGCCCAGAGCCTGACGCTGCCCTGCACACTGGGATTAAGAAACTGATCCAGTACACAGGGCCTGTGAGGACTCCTGCAGGGCAGATGACAAGGTGCTACAGGCCAGCTGGGCTGGGGGCTAAGCACCCCTAGTTAAAATCACATGAAACAAATGCTTGAATTTCATCCTCTTAAAGGGTTACCCCAATATTAACTTACTTCAGGTATTTAAGATAAAATCCAAATCTTTAACTTTTATAACATTGCTGTAGAATGCAAAAACTTCTGATTCTGTCATAAAGAAGTAATGATTTAAAGGAACTGGAACTTAAGTTGCATCCCTAGCTGAATCTTTCAAAACCTGCTATTACTACAATCACTCTTCAATATCATTACTAAAGGTTCCCAATCATTTTACCATTTTGGATCAGAATAAAATGTTACCATCAACATAAAGGGTATTGCAGCAAAGACTGGGCATAACATGCCACACTGGCTTACTTAAACATTAGCATGATATTCAATAGTACATGCTGCCTGCCCGTTTCTATCCATATACTGAAATATATTTTCTCATATAGTCATCAAGATTTGTTAGTCAAAAATGCACTGGAAAAATAAAGATCTCAAGGTCAGTAATGGTTCAGTAGTTTGCGTCAATTCTGTTGACCTTCAGATCATTTGGCGAAACCGCTGTACTCCAATAACTTTTTCTGAAGATACTGGGGAGTTCAAGTCCCAGAGAATCCAGAAGGATTTAGACTTAAAGTTTTGTAGAGACTGATTCTTACGTGCACATTTTAAATGATAGGTGTGATAGTTTTAAATGACAGATCCACCACATATTATAAATTGGAGTAAATAAAAGTACTTACCACTGGAACACATTGCATTTTTCAAGCATTTTTACGCCATGAGGGTGACATGAAAGTGTACCAAAAAATAGAAAGTAGTGCTGACTAAGTGTATTCAACAGCCCATTGTTTTGAAGACTGCGTTCTGGTTTCATTCCAGAGGAAGAATTGAGCCACTGTACAATATCTTTTACCAATTCCTCCAAATAGCCTTGACCATCCTAAGAAAAAAGTAAGGAGATATTTTTTAGTTTTTGGTAGTGGAACAGCTTTAATTGATTTTTTTTTTTGCTTTTGTTTGCTAAAATGCATTCATTTACATCTCTCAGAATGCATATCTATAATAAAGTTAATACAATATAGATTCTAACAATCCAAATAAAATTAAGCCAAAATAAAAAGCTAAAGTCAAATAAAGTGATTGCTTAGTTTGTGGGCCAACTGGAATAATTCTGATATTTGGTATTTGCAGAAGAACAGTTATGAAAAAAAACACTTCTCTGGTCTCCTGGATTAAGGCACAATAAAACATTTTAGTCTAATTGAAAGAAAGATGCTTGAAAATACAGATATGAGTTTGGCATTGAAAAGTAGAGAGAGGTATCTGTGTCAATCTGAGGTTTGGCAGAAGGTAGGGCAGTGTGGCACCTCATGAACTAAGTCATTCAGAAAGGCATGAGTTTTTGTAGGCTGCAGCCTGCTTTGTCATAGCATCCATGCCTTTCTGAGCAAGTTAATCCATAATGTGCCACCCTGCCCTTCACTAAAAAGTAGTCATGGAAGATTCCATAAATCCCATTTTTATTTTCAAGACACTTCAATTTGGCAATGGTCTTTTATCTAATTACTACTACACTGACCAGCCTTGAAAACTTAGGATTCTAAATTTGATTTCTGATGTGCTGATCTTTTTAAGAGTCTTTTAGGACACTAAAGTTTTTTGATAAAGATCTTAATTTTAGTAAATATGTTTGCTTAGCCATTTTCTCACCAGTTTTGTGACTAAAAACCTCTCTCACCTCTTCAGATTCAAGGAGAAATTCAGTAAACTGGCAACCCACGACAGTGAGCTGCTTGGCCTTGCCATAATCCAGATCCAGGTTGGCATACAATTTACTGCTAGGCTTGTAAAAATACAGCAGTCGTCGTACAAACCTAATAAAGATTAAAATGAAAAAAATTAGTTGCTTACCACCAAGAAATATGAATTATTTGTGATAGTATAACATAAGCATAAAAATAAGAGCATACAAAGAATACTTTAACCCTGAGTTAAAGTTCAGACACTAATCAGTTTTATCCCAAAACTATCAGTATAGGAGCAAATATTGATACGCCTAACTAATAATTTTATCTGGACAATTTTAGGGGTAAAGATCATATTATATGCCACAAGAGTCCTGTCTATAACTTTGGGGCTGTCATAATTTAAAATGAGTTAAGAATACCTTTTCAGAAAATAGCAAAAACAAACATTAGAACAAGTTCATTTAGTTACAGACTGTTCTGCTAATTTTTTTCCTCTAGAATTTCCATAGATTACAATATCTATCAGGCTATGAAAACAAGAAGGGATAATTTTTCTCCAGACTGCTTAACAAAAGAAAAAAATCTATCGTAATGCTTGTTATATCTCCATAAGCAAAATCAGCCTATACAATGGCTGGCATGCATCTCCCCTTTGAAAAAATATATGCTTTCAGTGGGTGACATACAACATTTTCAAAGTGACACTATTTTTATTCAGACCATTCAAGCAGCTTTTGAAGCGTTATCCCTGATCAAATGTAAAGGCCCAATCTAGCAACAAATTCACTGCAGTCAAAACTTTTCATTTCTACATTGACCCATATGTAACTACAGATCAGTCAGTCTCACTTATGTCCCTAGGAAATTGGGAGAATTTATAATAAAATGCAAAATCAGCAGTCACATGGACAAACATGATCTGCTGGGGAAGAGTCAGCAAGGCTTTTGTAAAGAGAAATCCTGCCTCGCCAATCTGATGGGGCTCTCTGAGGGACAAGGGGATACTGTTGACAATGTATCTGGACTTGCAAAAAGCTTTTGACAAGGTCCCTCACCAAAGGCTTTTAAAAAACTGTGTTGCCACAGCATTGGAAGAAAAGTTCTTTCATGGACTGCAAGCTGGTTAAGAGAGAGGAAGCAAAAGGTAGGACTAAATAGTCACTTTTCAGACTGGAGGGAGGTCAAATGTAGGGTCCTACAGGGGTCTGGGCAGGGCCCAATTTTATCCAACATTTTCATTAACGACCAGGAAATGGAGGTACACAGTGAAATCTCCAGGTTTGCAGTTGATACAAATTATTTTTCAAATAATTTTAGGAAGTCATATCCCAAGCTGATGGAGAAGAGCCACAGAAAGATCGCACCAAGCTAAATTACAGGGCAAAAAATGGCAGATGAACTTCAGTGCTGACAAGTACAAAGTAATGATGCTGGAGAAAAAAACCCTCAACATGGTATACAATGCTAATTTCTAAACTAGCTGTTAGAACTCAAGAAAGAGACCTTGGAGTCATTGTTGATAGTTCTTTGAAAACGTCAACTCAATGTGTAGCAGCAACCAAAAAAGCCAATAAAATGCTAGACATGATTAAGAATGGAATGGAAAACAAAATGGAGAACAACATGCCATTACACAAATCCATGGTGAGCTCACATCTTAAATACTATGTGCAGTTCTGGTCTCTGCATCTCAAAAAAGACACAGTAGAATTAGAAAAGGTACGGCGGAGGGCACAAAAAATGATAAGGGGCATGGAGCAATTGCCATACCAGGAGAGACTAAAAAGGCTACAGCACTGCAGTTTGGAAAGGAGAAGGCTGAGGGGGAATATGATAGAGATCCATAAGATCACAAATGGTATGGACCAAATGAACAGGGAACTGTTGTTCATCAAGTCCCAGAAAACCAGAACAAGGGGGAGCCCACCGAAAATAGTGGGAGACAGGTTTAAAAATAATAAGAGACAGTACATTTTTTTAATGCAATGCATAGTTAACTTGTGGAATTCATTGCCACAGGAGGTGGTAGAGGCAGATAGCATAGCCAGGTTCAAAAAGGGACTAGATAAATTCATGGATGGCATCTATTCACAGCTGTTGAACAGAATGATTGGAGATGTTTCCTCTGGCATCTCTAAACTAATAATTATGGATACCAAACAAGGTAATGAAAAGAAAAGAAGATAGATCACTCTAGATCTATCCAGTTTGATGCCCTCCTTCTAGCATCCACTTCTGCCACTGTTGGAGACAGAATACAAAGCTAGATGGGCCCACTGGTTTAACCCAGTATGGTACTTCTTAAATTCTTATGGAATCAATCCAGGAATTCAGGAGCCCATTTGAAATTTGAAGGGCTTGTACCGCTATTTCTATAAATCATTAGTAAACCTCAAGTGAATATGCTCCATTACTCAGTTTGAGAGAAAAGAGAATGTTATTTTATATGGTATCTATATAGAAATACTCCTTTGCTTGGGTTCCCCACTCCCCCTGGTGTTAGTTACAGTAGAAGTAAGATCTGCCCGTGTCTAAGTCAAGAACCAGACTAGAGATATCCCTAAAAATCACTTTGCAAGCCCATTTTTATATTTTTCATTAATTAAATAGTCTAAAATAAAATCCAGAGTGATGATATGATGCATGTTTGATTATTCTTATGCATTATGCTTGCATGTATCTCTTAAATATGATAGGTTGGCAATAATTTAAGTAATACATTGCAATTCAATCATTAAGAGGTATTTTGTATTAATTTTAAAGGTTTCACCTCCACAGCTATAAGATTTTTCTTATGCAAAAACACCAGATTAAAAATTCATCGAGATAACATAAAAATTGTGTGTGTATACACACATACATACATAGCCACACACAGGGTATATGAAAAAAGCTCAAAAATAACTTTGTTGTTTGCTGTTTTTGACAATGATGATCCAGTTAACAGTCCAGAGCTCTGAGTCATCCAAAATAAAAGGGATTTTTTAAATCTCTAATTGCAGCCAAGAATGGAAGCATTCCATTTTGTAAAAACATGGCACTAACCGGGTTTATCAGCTGCAGAAGCAATTTTTATAGTCTAGAGAGTCCTAGTTTTTTACAACTTACTTGGCATGAAATAATCCAGCCACTGACCACTGCATAAATCCAGAAAACACCTATACACTACAACTTGTGCATCATAGCCAGACTTGTAAATATTTCATTAGAAAAAGTAATTCTACAATCTGCTGGATCTGGAAAATAATCCTTTACCATATAATCAATTACTTTTTACATATAAGGGTGTGTGTGTGCAGATGGGGAAGGAGGAGGGAGAGGGTACGTGGGGGTTCAGAATAAAATGAAGGATGTTTGCCAAGCTGATTATAAACTGGCTAAGTGATATACTTCTATTTTAGGGTATATAAGTTAATAGTTATGCAAAGGAAATAAAAACCTACGCTAAATAAATTACTCTAGGTTTTGTAACCTAATTACCAAAATTTCTGTTTCATGTTATATACGCATTAAAATTTTAAAATGTGCTATTTCAAAGGAATAGCTTATTGAAATGATAAAAAACATGTCATTATTTATCTTCCTTCACAGGAAGTCCACAGTTTTACATACCTGTGCAACTGTTCATCTTTATAGTTCCTTAGATTTACATTTGGCCACTAGAAAAATAGCAAATATATCATTATAAGACTTTCACCAGTCCTGGGTTAGTCTCTTAATATTTAGAAATGCATCTGTAATATATAGAAACCAATACATTTTAATGACGTGTCCTAGTTCTTTAGCATCTCTAGTTTTAGTTCACAGGACTAAATGAAAATTTTAAATTAATATTTATTTGCTTCACTGAAAAGCCCATGTTCTCATCACTCCCACACACGTTCTTTTCATTTTGGAGTGAGACAGAGTGCTGGGAGCATACCATGTGTACCTACAGAGTTCTAAAGAATAAAACTGCAAAATATGATATGCTAACATAAAACCAGTTTTGTTTGTTTTTTCGCGCATATAAATACAAAAATAACTTTAAATATAAATGTTAAAGGGATATTTAACTTGATATTTTTCTGTATTTGTCAATGAGTCAGTTTCAAGGAATTGGAAATTCTGGTACAGCACCCTTGGAACTGTATTAGAAATTTTTAATTCTCTGTTGATTTTTAAAAAAGGACTTTTAGATTGGACCAATGAAATAGCATTAGATGTTTCTGGCCCATACCTTTTCCCCCCCCCCATGTACTTTTTTTATGCTCATGCATATCTGCTGTCTTTACAGTTGCAAGTTTACTTTGGTTATCACTGGTAAACACCCTCTTTCAAGATCTGGGGAAAAAGCATATATGCATGCCTCTTCCTGCCTGAGTCATATAACAGAGTGATATCACCATCCTAATAAATGAAATGGGCAGTACAACTGACAGTAAAGACTGAAACTGATTATAAAACATGCTGTTAGAAAAGAACAGCTGATTAAATAAAATAAAAATATTCCCCATTACAGTGACAGTAATTCTAGGTATGACTAGGAAATTAGGAAAAACAAAAGAACAAAATCTAAATATGATATTTATGTCACTGTGCAAGAGTCTATCCTATTTCCCTTTAACCCCTTCATTAGTATAAATATGATTTAAACAGTGTTAAGAAAGTCGCTACATTTTATCAAAGCAATTAGTAACACTGCATAATCATTTAAAACATTAATTAGAAGTGTTTGAAACACAAGCAATGTCACTAACTGATGTATGAAAACCCTCAACCAAAGAAACAATGGATGAATACCAACACATGAGATCAAAAAGAATTATATTAATGTAGGGAGTTAGGTCTGTATTTATAAGTATCAAAATATTTTTTGTTTAAAATAAATATAAGACTTCTATTTATAGATATTAACTTAAGGGGTAGTACAATCACCAGGCTGACAAAAAAAAAAAAAAAAGCCAAAGATCCATCTGAACTGAGTAGCTCAGGCTAGAATATTTAAAGCATGTCGGTGTCTATTTCCAACAGCACCTTTGGCTAATGGCACAACCTTGCTCCCTTGCCTGAATGACTAACTACCTATTAGCAGCTGGGTTGACTGAACTTGCATCTCTGAAGTTATAGCAAGATGCCTTAACCATTCTGCACCATCCCTAAGAACACCAGTTTGCACTGACGTAATGCAAAGGATCGAGGGAGGTTAAGAAAAGAGAGAGGCATAAAATAATATGGTATCTGATTTTGAAACCTTCTGAAACTTATGAAACTCTACTCAACAGAGCACTAGGAAAATCCACCTTAGGGAAAATCTGATCTCAGCATAGAATTTAGCTATATGATTGAAAAGTTTTTCTATTTTCTCCAGTGTTACGAAAAAAATCTTAATTTCAGCACCCAATTGCATCTTTCAGTTCAAAATAGGGTAATTAAATAGAAGACATTTTGAAGAGTAGAAATGGACTTCTTATACATAAGACTTCACACTAACTTAAATTATCAATGTTACATTTAAATAATTAAAAAGAAATCAACAGTTTGAAAAATAAAAGTAGTAATCCAGCAAAATGATGATACTGTACATGATTTATGTCATCTGAACAACAACAAAAAAATCTAATATAAATCAATCTAGGTTTATATGCCAGATTTATGACTACCTTGTACTTATATTTTTCCAGGGATGAACATGCTGTATAAGTAACTAGCCAGAACTTTCTTCCTTTCTTGTAACAAAATTTGCCAGAATTTCAAATGTATACCTTCTCTGGTTTGCTGGTTTCAGTTCTAACAGTGATGTTTACCCATCTATACTCCAACTTTTTCCTTTAATAATTTTGTATTCTTTGTACATAGAAGATTTTATCCGAAATGTAATAAGAGCAGAATAATTTATGGCTGCAAATGTGACATTGGAGACACAAGAATGAAAGCTAAGGCAGTCGTGTAGAGATGAACATTACTCTTTCTCCACAATGTCAGAAAAACATCCAGAAGCAGCAGCTGTCATAGGAACTGCTGAGACACCTCTAAAGGCATCCTGGACACTGGATTTCACTGGATTCAGTGAATTTAGTAATGGTCACTGACACTTGTTCCACAAAATATGTAATATTCAAAATGGATAAGATAGTGCACTGCTTGTACTATAGATTCTCTGATAAAGGAGTATTCATTTTACCAAGAATAATCCAATTTTAATATTTTACAATGAATCAAGTGATCTTGATAGAAAGGGTCTATAGTCATACCAATCTAAAACAGAAGACACAATATAATATCATGCTTTCCTACAATCTTGCCAAAGTATCTCAATCTTGACCTGTAATCACTTTCCACTTTAAACCTCGATTTTGCTAGAGTAAAGAAAATATGCCTAAATGGACTAACACTGCATTATGTTGGACAAGTGCCTGCTTCGGATTAAAATGGGATAATATTAATTTCCAGGTAATGATCTAATTAATACTAGTGTTTTACTATTACAAGTTTAAGAAACTTTTAAAAATAAATATTTGATATATTATTTGATGCAACCTTATTGGAAAATGGTTAATTTGTCATCTTTTGCACATATTACTTCTTAAATGTATATGACTGTACACTGACAATAAAATTAAGTAGGAACCTGTTTTCTAAAAAGACTCAGTACTGTTCTCTCACGATTGTTTTCAACTATCACCAACTTTAAGCTTGTATAAAAACCAGATCCCTTTTTAAAAATCAATTTAAAAAATCCACTTTCCTGTATTTTTTCTTACCTTCAATATGGTCCCTATCAGATTCCAATTCCATTCAAGGTTCTCTTTATGATTAAGAACTTGGCTATCACGAAGGTTCATTACAAGTGCTTCCTCTGTATCCTGTTATATTTGAATGAGAAATTACCATAACTGCAAGTTACCATAACTTAAAAGCATTTATGATCAAATCTGCAGTTCTGTTCTATAAATAATGTTTGGTATATCATAACTAATGTTTGACAATACATATGCTATAGTAAGCTTTTACACTATTAGGATCACAGGTTAAACAAAAACAGAAGTAGAGATATTAAATCATGACTTCTGGGGACATTTAAAAAAAATCATACAAAGCTCGATTTACTGTACAGTCTTTGGGACTAGGCAAGTGACACATTTATACCAGTTTATTTCTGTTTTGTACAGTGTAGCTGCAGGTTGCAGGCAATTATTAAAGTGTCTTGCCTCTACATGAGCAAAGACTCCTGAGAAGACTCTAGCCAAGAACCCTTCAAAAAGTCCAAAGTCATGTCAAAGAAGTCCTTCCAAATCAATATGATTGGTATTTACAATATAAATACATTAATGCAGCTATATTACTCATCTATAATTGATCAAGTACAAAATCCTGGAGTATTTTTGGTGAAAATAGGGTACTGGGCCTTGGGTCAGAAACCAATCCCCCATTTATAACATTGTTTCTCATGAGAAAATTGGTTCTGAGTTACAACATTTTGACTTGAGACGCAATTTTCAGGAACCAATCATGTCGTAAGTCCGAGGGCTGCCTGTACTAGTGTTAAAGTTAACTATACCAGACTAAATGACATCATCTATGCAGGCCCTCTGAGATCTGAAGTTGAAGTAGAAAACCTGAGTACCTTTAAAACAAAGATATCTTTCTGCACACGGCACTGATCCCTTTTTTGGTGTGTTGAGATTGCTTTCTGAATAATATGATCTAAGTGGAGGCTGTAAGGCTTAGGTCCTCGTTTCTTCATCTCATGAAACCGTTTTAAGCAATTGAGTGCTGCACTGGCTCGTCTAATAGAAAAAGATACTGAAATTAACACTATTTGACAAGTTCTATTGCAACAACATACATTACACCATTGTCAAATCTTTTATGAATATAAACTTGGGTCCCCTTAAGTTATTGAGGAGAAATAAATGACTGTTCTGAAGTGAAAAAGAAAAAATAAAACTACTGCTTTCATAGGTACTGTAGAAGGTACAGTTTTTGATACATTTACATATTTCAGATTTGTACAATCAGCAGAAAAATAAGCATTCGAATTCCTAGTGTTAGAGACGGGCAACTGATGCGATGACGTGTTTTCGTCTACTTCGTAACAAGTTATACCTAGGAAGACTGGAATGCAGGCTTTGAACAATGCGCCCTGGGGCGCTTTATTTTTTAGTGACAGATACAGGACATCTAGTTTGAATGCAGACCAAATAACTTCTTTTGGTATGCCTTTTTTCCTCTCCAAAAAGTAACAAATAATAGATTCCCATACCAGCAATCTGAAAAGCTAGAACTTAAAACCTTCTATAGTTGTCTCCTTAAAAAGGCAGGAAACATGGATGAAAAATACATGACATTCTAAGAGATAATCCCAAACTAGTTTCAGGACTCAAACAGCTAGCCAACTGAAATAACAATTGTAACACTGAAAGCTACAAATTATAGATATAACTTCCCCCCCAGCAGCTAAGGCTCAATTGTGTCCATTAAAATTTAGAGATGCTTGAAAAGTGGAATGTGGGGAGATACTAGACCCATTTTATATTCTGCAATACCAGGATATATATCAACTTTTTGGGGGGTGATATTTCCATTACCCTTTAATATATGTGTTATTTGAAAGCAAACCAAACTTGAAAGCTTAGCTTGTTACAGGACTCTGAAGAAGCAGAAACACGTAGGGAAAAGTGGAGAGGGCCTAGCTATTTTCCCAAGGCCTAGAATGCAAAAAACTGAACTAAATGAAAGGGGAAGGTAATAGCAAAGTGAAGGAATGCCACTTCTGCTCTTTGGTTCCTCAGCCCCCACCCACTGCTCCAAAGCATGGAAACCATGCATTAGAGGTTACCAGATACCACTACTGTTTCTCCTCTCCTCTCCTGGTACCCACTTATATCCATATGAACAATTATAATTTGGCAACTTTGACAGGCCAAAGTCGACAATGAAACCATTTTGTGGATTTTTATTTTTCCAGTCAGTACATTTTGGAATCTAATATTCATTGTACTTCTAAAAATGTATCCATGCTATATGATTTTTATCCCTTTGTTGACACTAACTACATTTGTAAAAGAGGTGCAAGTCAAGTAACAACCACAGAATTAAAAATGATGTCACTAAATGTATTAACCTAAATTACGATTTATCTTCCTTTTTATATCTCATCACATCTTACACCAGCACCTAGACAATCTTACCCAGAAATCTTTATCATTATTATTTTAATATGCAACCCTCTATAGCCATACAGCTTAATAGTTATTGCGCTACAGTAGCTCGAAAATAATTCAGCAATTTATTAACAGAAAATTAATGAAGAAAAATAAAAATAATGTTCTATTTTATTACAGAATAGAAATTTGAAAAGCCAGATCATAAGAAACCTCTCAAATGATGAAGATATTTTTAAGTTAGCTACAAAATTGTTTTCCTCTGCAGATCATGTTTTTTAAAAGCTCAATTACTAGTGAAAAAAAAAAAAATCACACAGAAATCTAAGTAGACACTATAAAGAAATATGGAATATATAAAATGAATTTTGTACACAATAAAACACACTACATGTAAAAGAAAGAAATTTAAACTGCAACTGAGCTGCAAAATAAATATTGGTATGTTATTAAAGGAAACTTTAAAACATGAAATAAGATTCTATCTTCACATTTATTCTGAGGAATGTGTTTGTTTTAAGTGTCATTGGCATAAAGAGCAAATATTGATATTAAACATTAAACCTGCCTTTCATTTCTGCCCAATTTCAGGATCAATACTATTTGTACATTGCATGTTCAGCAGTATGATCTGAAAACAGTAGTTGCCGGTACTGCCTATAGATATTACCATTTGTAATTGGAAGCATGTGTCCATTATGTGTCAAAGGACATTTCTACATGGACACACTTTTTAAAAGGTGCCTTGATTTTAACTATAGTAAGCATATAATGTGTGTGATCATTCATTCCCAGTGGTTTTAGTATTTTAGCACAACTTTGCATGCTTACAGTCTTTTCTCCTTCATGATGTCAAAAGATGCTGCCATATTCATTAGCGTTGGTAAACAGTGTAAGTGATGGCTATGTGAATGAGGAAGAATTGTGTTTGCCTGAAAAGGAAGACACATATTGTTAAAAATCAGGCCTAACTATATGTTGACATTATACAGCTTCAGCCAGAGGTCCCTATATGTGCCCCATCCCCCACCACACCAAATATGGGACTTCTGTATATACAACAGTCTGTTTACTCTTCACATAGCATAAAAGGCTTGGAACATTTTCTTATGTATGATTGATAGTTGGTTCATCAAATACATTAAACCACCCAAATATATAAATACAACACAATTATCCTTAGTACATTTTTACAAAGGAGTGTAGATTTAGGCACTAGACTTGCCTGTGGGTCCCCAGATAATTTATGGTTTTACAATCAATATACAGTGTAAATATAATACCAGGTTGTCAAAGACGAAATAAATACAAATGAATAAATAAAATAGTCTTCTTTCTCTCAAATCAATAGTCCCAGGTGAAACTTCTAACAACACTGAAAAGACTTGAAATAGGAAGTATAATTATTTTTTAACTTGATAGTGACCCTTTGGATTGTCTGGCAGCCAAAGACATTGTTACAGTTGCCACAACATACTAAAAAATATGGTACTATTTTTTTTGCAAACAATACACCCCAGAATATAATATGCAACTTGTTTCTGAAAGGCAGAATGAAGAAGGGGGAGGGATTTTTCCAGAGCTATAGCTGTATAGAGGAGGGACAAATGAAGACTAATTGTCATTTGACTAACTCTCACTTTTCCACTTAACTAAAGCTAAAACTCTAGCTTCTGCCAGGGGGGGTGGGGGGG